GTTACGCTACGACTTCAAGGACCTTTTCCACAGTACGACCTCATTATTTGCTACACTTTGACACAGCAAAAACTTGCGCTTTAAATATAACGAAACCTAATAAAGATTAATTAACAATCAATTCTTTCATAGGATAACTTTGATCAAATTTATGTATGAACGATTCAACATCTGTCTCTTATACACATCTAGATGTGTATAAGAGACAGGCAGTAATATAAAGAACATGTGAATGCTATCCATACTAGCTATGATATTTTATTGTACAATATAGATGAGCAGTAAATATAAAGAACATGTGAATGCTTTCTACACTAGCTATGATATTTCATTGTACAATAGATGAACAGTAATATAAAGAACATGTGAATGCTCTTCGTTTCTATTATCATTCAAACCCTAACTTTTAGAAAAGCATACTCATTGATTTTAACTACTCCGATTTGTGATTCATTTCGCATCCAAACAAGAATTACTCAGAATTATTGACCCAATGTGCGTTTAATTGAAAGCTATATGGTAGCAGCCTCGTTTGACCTTTTCAAAGTGTCTGGATTTTAATGCTAAAAAATGGAATGCTTTCAGAACGCATCTTGACAAATGTTAAATTCATCACGTTTTCATACAAATCAAATAAAGTTAAGGGAGAAGAGAGGTTGAGAACCAATCATGCATAATTAAATTCAATGTTTCTTAAAGTGAATCAAGTATTTCTGCTCAAGTACAAGCAATTCAAAAAGCAAATAAAAAAAGGGTTCTATTGTTTTGCATACTATAAACCCTATGTTATGTTGGAACTTAGAATAAACTAACTAAATTTTTAGATTGACTTAATATTATATCATTTAAGTGTTTTTAGATCATTTCTCGATTTTGCCAGATAGTACATAAAAGAAATAATATTTATTATCATATTATCATTATTATCATATTCATCACTACCCTTATAATTATTATTAGACTTACTTGAAATATATCACAGTATAGGTTAAATTACAAAAACAAAAGGCCGCATAGATTATGTCACCATGTGATTTATAGCATCATTACGTATGTAATACTAGATTTTGTTTGTGTCACAGAAAGTGGTACATGCAGATAAGTTCAAACGAACACTTTGTAGAAGTGAACAGAAATAAATATTGATTATGTCTTGTTACTCCATGTTAACGTCATGCTTTATAAATGGTGGACTGTTATCATTATAACCAGAGTATAGAGATCAGAATACATCTTGCGCATACTTTAGAAAAATGATATGCACTTATACAGTATGGGACTTGGACAAGTCGAGCGGCCGAACAGTAACGCAAGGGTGCCGTTAACTAAGCCTTAACATCAGCGCTGGCTTGAGATGCTCCTTGCCCATTGTTTGGTTGGTAGAAGCAAGTCTTATCGATAAGGACCTGGACATGGAGGCCAGCTTTAAAGAATCCATCTTTTCAGAAGAATAGGGGTTACCCCAATGCTATGGTTTATTTCAGCCTCTACAGTTGTGGAATGATGTGAACATGTAGCTAGCAGCTCTTTACAGCGGTTAAGTAGTCACAGACCACACCCGTACACAATTCAGCAAGTCAGTGTTCAGGGTTACGCTACGACTTCAAGGACCTTTTCCACAGTACGACCTCATTATTTGCTACACTTTGACACAGCAAAAACTTGCGCTTTAAATATAACGAAACCTAATAAAGATTAATTAACAATCAATTCTTTCATAGGATAACTTTGATCAAATTTATGTATGAACGATTCAACATCTGTCTCTTATACACATCTAGATGTGTATAAGAGACAGGCAGTAATATAAAGAACATGTGAATGCTATCCATACTAGCTATGATATTTTATTGTACAATATAGATGAGCAGTAAATATAAAGAACATGTGAATGCTTTCTACACTAGCTATGATATTTCATTGTACAATAGATGAACAGTAATATAAAGAACATGTGAATGCTCTTCGTTTCTATTATCATTCAAACCCTAACTTTTAGAAAAGCATACTCATTGATTTTAACTACTCCGATTTGTGATTCATTTCGCATCCAAACAAGAATTACTCAGAATTATTGACCCAATGTGCGTTTAATTGAAAGCTATATGGTAGCAGCCTCGTTTGACCTTTTCAAAGTGTCTGGATTTTAATGCTAAAAAATGGAATGCTTTCAGAACGCATCTTGACAAATGTTAAATTCATCACGTTTTCATACAAATCAAATAAAGTTAAGGGAGAAGAGAGGTTGAGAACCAATCATGCATAATTAAATTCAATGTTTCTTAAAGTGAATCAAGTATTTCTGCTCAAGTACAAGCAATTCAAAAAGCAAATAAAAAAAGGGTTCTATTGTTTTGCATACTATAAACCCTATGTTATGTTGGAACTTAGAATAAACTAACTAAATTTTTAGATTGACTTAATATTATATCATTTAAGTGTTTTTAGATCATTTCTCGATTTTGCCAGATAGTACATAAAAGAAATAATATTTATTATCATATTATCATTATTATCATATTCATCACTACCCTTATAATTATTATTAGACTTACTTGAAATATATCACAGTATAGGTTAAATTACAAAAACAAAAGGCCGCATAGATTATGTCACCATGTGATTTATAGCATCATTACGTATGTAATACTAGATTTTGTTTGTGTCACAGAAAGTGGTACATGCAGATAAGTTCAAACGAACACTTTGTAGAAGTGAACAGAAATAAATATTGATTATGTCTTGTTACTCCATGTTAACGTCATGCTTTATAAATGGTGGACTGTTATCATTATAACCAGAGTATAGAGATCAGAATACATCTTGCGCATACTTTAGAAAAATGATATGCACTTATACAGTATGGGACTTGGACAAGTCGAGCGGCCGAACAGTAACGCAAGGGTGCCGTTAACTAAGCCTTAACATCAGCGCTGGCTTGAGATGCTCCTTGCCCATTGTTTGGTTGGTAGAAGCAAGTCTTATCGATAAGGACCTGGACATGGAGGCCAGCTTTAAAGAACCCATCTTTTCAGAAGAATAGGGGTTACCCCAATGCTATGGTTTATTTCAGCCTCTACAGTTGTGGAATGATGTGAACATGTAGCTAGCAGCTCTTTACAGCGGTTAAGTAGTCACAGACCACACCCGTACACAATTCAGCAAGTCAGTGTTCAGGGTTACGCTACGACTTCAAGGACCTTTTCCACAGTACGACCTCATTATTTGCTACACTTTGACACCTGTCTCTTATACACATCTAGATGTGTATAAGAGACAGGCATGGGAATGCTATCCATGTTAGCTGATATTTTATTTTACAATATACTGTAGATGAGCAGTAATATAAAGAACATATGAATGCTCTTCGTACTAGCTATAATATTTTATAGTAAAATATAGATGAGCAGTAATATAATTTAAGGAACATGTGAATGCTATCCACACAAGCTATGCTATTTTATTGTACAATATTACAATAGATAAGCAGTAATATAAAGAACATGTGAATGATCTTCGTACTAGCTATAATATTTTATAGTACAATATAAATGAGCAGTAATATAAAGAACATGTGAATGCTATCCATACTAGCTATGATATTTTATTGTACAATATAGATGAGCAGTAAATATAAAGAACATGTGAATGCTTTCTACACTAGCTATGATATTTCATTGTACAATAGATGAACAGTAATATAAAGAACATGTGAATGCTCTTCGTTTCTATTATCATTCAAACCCTAACTTTTAGAAAAGCATACTCATTGATTTTAACTACTCCGATTTGTGATTCATTTCGCATCCAAACAAGAATTACTCAGAATTATTGACCCAATGTGCGTTTAATTGAAAGCTATATGGTAGCAGCCTCGTTTGACCTTTTCAAAGTGTCTGGATTTTAATGCTAAAAAATGGAATGCTTTCAGAACGCATCTTGACAAATGTTAAATTCATCACGTTTTCATACAAATCAAATAAAGTTAAGGGAGAAGAGAGGTTGAGAACCAATCATGCATAATTAAATTCAATGTTTCTTAAAGTGAATCAAGTATTTCTGCTCAAGTACAAGCAATTCAAAAAGCAAATAAAAAAAGGGTTCTATTGTTTTGCATACTATAAACCCTATGTTATGTTGGAACTTAGAATAAACTAACTAAATTTTTAGATTGACTTAATATTATATCATTTAAGTGTTTTTAGATCATTTCTCGATTTTGCCAGATAGTACATAAAAGAAATAATATTTATTATCATATTATCATTATTATCATATTCATCACTACCCTTATAATTATTATTAGACTTACTTGAAATATATCACAGTATAGGTTAAATTACAAAAACAAAAGGCCGCATAGATTATGTCACCATGTGATTTATAGCATCATTACGTATGTAATACTAGATTTTGTTTGTGTCACAGAAAGTGGTACATGCAGATAAGTTCAAACGAACACTTTGTAGAAGTGAACAGAAATAAATATTGATTATGTCTTGTTACTCCATGTTAACGTCATGCTTTATAAATGGTGGACTGTTATCATTATAACCAGAGTATAGAGATCAGAATACATCTTGCGCATACTTTAGAAAAATGATATGCACTTATACAGTATGGGACTTGGACAAGTCGAGCGGCCGAACAGTAACGCAAGGGTGCCGTTAACTAAGCCTTAACATCAGCGCTGGCTTGAGATGCTCCTTGCCCATTGTTTGGTTGGTAGAAGCAAGTCTTATCGATAAGGACCTGGACATGGAGGCCAGCTTTAAAGAACCCATCTTTTCAGAAGAATAGGGGTTACCCCAATGCTATGGTTTATTTCAGCCTCTACAGTTGTGGAATGATGTGAACATGTAGCTAGCAGCTCTTTACAGCGGTTAAGTAGTCACAGACCACACCCGTACACAATTCAGCAAGTCAGTGTTCAGGGTTACGCTACGACTTCAAGGACCTTTTCCACAGTACGACCTCATTATTTGCTACACTTTGACACAGCAAAAACTTGCGCTTTAAATATAACGAAACCTAATAAAGATTAATTAACAATCAATTCTTTCATAGGATAACTTTGATCAAATTTATGTATGAACGATTCAACATCAGTAAAATATAAGACACCAGGATATAAATATAGAAATGCTACCTGACAAAGCCATGTATAAAATAACATTATAATTAATCATTCAATTATATAGGCACACTTGTCAATAAAACTACGTAGCTATATAAATAACTGTCAAGCAATTATATAACTACATATAAACAACTTTAATAACAAATAATAATTTAATATACCATAATCAGTTATATGAATAGCTGTTACGAATTCTATGTAACTATACATAACTTAACAAATTATGTAAGAGCACTGTCACCATGTAACTGTAGATTCTTAAACCAAAAGGTTGTTATTACATTGATCACGTTACAATATGAGAAATATAAGCTATAATAACAAATAAGAAATATATTGATAACTAATACGAAATTTTGGTTTATACGCAAAATCTAGTTACACCTTGGAGTTGGTTTTGTACAAGGCCATGTACTGTAAAATATCGCCTTTGAATTTCATTAGAGGTTTAGGATTTGTGAATGGTATTTTTATTTATATATTCATTAAACTATATTTCATACTTTTCATCAAACATATGTGACACATTTTTGAAGCAAAAGGTATTTGAGGGAGGTCATATAATGAAGATTAGAAAAGAGGAAAGCGACAGAACAATTAGGTTGTATAGGAAAGAGGGAATAAAGATGGAGGAAATAAAAAAAGATACAGTAGATCATGTTGGCTAACCGGATAGGAAAGAGAAACTAGGAATAAAGATCAAGGAAATAATAGAACTATTAACTTGTCAATGAACAACAGAGCACTATTAATGCTGGTCCATATACATCCTAATATTTACAAGGTGTATAGAATTAGTTGTGAAAATATGCATCAGCAACACACACAATTAAATATACACTATAGGAATACAATACTAGATAAGCATACTTCTACAATTGAACCACTACATAATAGCACAATTCCATGTCTAAAATATAACTGATAAATCTAGAAATTTTTACAAACAAATAATTGTTAATACCATCCTAAAATCAAAATACTATCAAGAGAGAATTCATTAGTAACTTACCATTGAGAAAATCTACTCGTACATCGTAATCTACCTACAGTACGCTAGCCACAACAATGCTGATATGTTAATAAGATATGGATGCAGAGTATGAGTCGATGAGTAATCACTCCCTGCTCCTTAGCGTGCATTAAGGCATATCAGAGGCGTATCAATACTGGACTCCAAGGCTTGGACTACCCAATTAAACAACCCAAGAGGGACATATTTTTTAATGAGCTATAGTATGAACTAGGTTGTCCATCAAAAATAGAATTTTAAATCAATCACTGGCATTCCTTTCTATTTCATAATTAAAATTCTAATTTATAAATTTAATGACTCATGTTCATTCATTAGAAAAATCATGTTTTGCTCATTAGCATAATTATGATTATTCATTTCCATAACTTTAGTTATTCATTTGAAAAATGATGTTTAATACATTAGCATTTTCATGTTTATTCATATATTATGTTTATTAATATTTTTTTTTTAGATGACTAAAGGGTGAATGTGAGCTCGAGCATTAGGAGATTATTACTTGGTGAATGATTAAGATGATCTAGTTAATTATGATGCGTTAATATTTACATATTGGATGGGGATATTGATTTTTGGCATAGACTCTGCAAATGAACTACAGCAATAATGTTTTTCATATGCAAGTGTTCGAAATATTCAACGATCATACTCACTCTCTAAATGTTACGACCTGAAGAATACATTAAATACTTAATTTTTATGTTTGAATGCATATTAGCTCAATATTTTAACAGAAACATAAACAATATTGGTTCGAGTGGCATGGTTCTGGTAGTGGAACAAGTCTTTCCTCGGATTAAGTACTATAAACCGTGGGCCCCGTGCTCACTATTAGCTCAGTGCACTTTAAAAAACCCAGTACATCTTTTGAGATGAGTAGGGGGTTAGTTTACCCCAGTGTACTGGTCCATACTGCCCTGTTGCCCTGCAGTTATGGATCGTTAAGTCCTTTGTAAGATGTAGCTACGTAACAGTACTCTTCCTAAATTTTTGTATAGAATCCATGGAAATAGGCAAGTTATCAATTTTTTTTAATGAAAGGTTGGCAAAGCAACAAATTTTGTAATTGTCTTAATCAGAGTTTTATTGGAGGAAGTCATCAACTTATGTTATCCTATTACTTATTAAATGAGAAAAAAACCAGAGGATTCACTAATTAGTCTTGAGTCTTTGTTTTATTAAATGAGCTTTTCATTGTAATTGACGTTTTAAAGAGTTTTTCTATATTTTATGACTGATGGTACACCTTTCAAGAGTACTTCACAAATACTTTAAAACATACTTAACATTACTGTATTTCAAAATGGTGTTTCACTGAATGCTTCCTGTTCTCCTTGCAAAATTATATCAAGTGCATGTGTTATAATTTGTTCTACTAAAGCTAAATATCTTCCTCTTATAAAAAATCTCCAATCAACTTTAACGGTGACCGACAGTGTACGCTACTCATAGCTGTAAGCATCAGTTTGCAGCTATTTTCCTATACTATACTGTTTGCAGCTATTTTCCTCTACTACAGTCTCATTATCAACTCAATCATTCAATCATAATTTAACTTTTTTAATATGCTATTATTTTAAATATATGATGGTAGTAGTTATTGAATTGATAAAAATATATGAGCATGTCTTTTTCATATTCAGTAGACTATATCCTTAGTACTGACCAGTGCCATATCTACAGTAGGAGTCTTGAAATGGGGGTGCTGATGGGGGTGCGAAGGTGAAGTGAGGGAGCTCGATGATCAGTTGAGGGGCGCTAATTCACAAATTTTGGGGGCGTGCGCCTCCCCGCCCATTCCCTAGATACACCACTGGTACTGACAGCCTGTAGATGTACTTCTGAAAATATGAAGGTTGATTATTATAATGTTTTTAAAGTGAACATGTTTCCCTATGATTGATTTAGAGCAAAAGATTACTAATAATAATTAAAACTAATTATCAGACAATTAAGAAAGTAGCACTCACAACTGACTTATGGAATTTATTTTACTGCTTTCACCAACAGTGGATGTTGACTCAGGTGAGTGAATAGAACATATAATGTAGTTGAGATATAATATTCAACCAATCAAAACAAGAGGCGGATACGATTATTATGCATAAATTTGCAAGCCATATAGGGACAAAAAAACTGCAGGACTTTAATAACTAAGGATCATATTAGAAGACATGGATGCCTTATTTATATGTAGATACATACTTGGTAATTGATAAGTAGGTAAGAAGGCTGATGTACTGAGGTACTGAGTACCTGGCAAGTCATCAGATACACAGATATAGTTAAAGTTTGATGAGGTAATTGGAATTAAAGGTTGGTTTGGTTGGCAGACAGATAATAGTGGATGAAAGAAGAGGAAAATGGGATACAGGTAGGTAATATAGACAGGAATAGACAGTGGCATTATCAGCGTATCTCACAAAAGGGTTACACCCACTTCAACCTTAACCATGGTAGGGCTGAGGTTGAAACATTCTATGTTACAGTGTGTCACCTCTAAATGATTCTAATTATTTATTCCGCTCACTGATTTTATTAAAGAGTACAGACACAAATGCAGACAGTAAGTGGTCAATGAACGGAAAAGACAGAATACCATAAACACTATAAAAAAACACACAGATAGGATAATTAGTTGGGCAGACACGTTCTTAATGAGAAACTGTGTCAATACACCGAGAAACAACCAAGACAGCTGAATTATCACAATTTATCCGATCGATAGACGCGGCAATGCCAAAGACAGATATATGTTAATTATCTAGAGGGCGCTACGTTAAAGGCATAGCTGCAATACACAGACATCATTATACCAATCATTGGATACACAATCAATACTGTCATACTGCCCTCCCTTGAGCCACATGCTAATGTATTTGGGAATTCAGTATACACAGTACATTAAATGTCTAAATTTCTTTGTATTTGAAGACAAATTTCTAGTATCTTTGTATTCTAATACTAAATATATATCTCGTACAAACATAAAAGAAAACAGAAACAAACATTTAAACATTCAAGTTAGTCATGGAGTAGCATTTAGTAATCATGAAATACAGAAGAGCACTGGTACTAAGCTTCCACACCTAAACAAAAGCAAGATATTGATAATTCAATTGCAACACATTTCCTAGCACAACACAAGAACGTTTGAATTTAATGGTTTCTTTTTGTGATCTTAAACACACCTGTCAGCTTAATACACAGATCATAGATTTAATTAACTGACCATTCCATAGGATAGCACTGGACTTGACAACTAATTAACTTTTTCCGGCAGGAATCAATACTAAATTAAAAACTAGACCTTGATGCAGGCAATTGGCAACGGCACTGTTCAAAGATTTAGCGCAAGAATTTTAAGCTCAGTTGATTTACTAATGTACCTTTATCTACTTAGTAACAAAAGGGTTTTAGTTGTTATTTAAGAGGGATGATAAGCAGGTTATTTAACTGGGGTCATCTTCATCATCCTACCACCAACTTCAATTTATCGTCAACCTTATATTTATACTAGAAATTGCAAATTGCAAGTGAAGTGCTGCGAAGTACAACTGCATATAAATGTTCTTCGAACAAAATTATTTATGCGAGTCAAGTGAAAATAATGAATAATAAAAATATAACAAATAATATGAGACACGACCCATTGTCTATATTAGAACACTTCTAATTGGGTAACAAAGTCGTAATTTTTCATTTTTGTCAAAAAGTGTATAAGTGGTGAATTATGGTTTAGGTTTTTTTTTCAAAAAAAGTTTCAAAAATTTCTATGTATGTGGAAAATGTAGTTGATTACCAAAGGTTACAATTTTTATTTTGAAGACTGCATGGTCTAGGAAGTGTACATTT